AGAAACCCTGACTTGAAAAACAAACAAAAATGGGCTGGAGGGAAAGCTCAGCCTTTAAAGGCTAGGCTTACAACCAAAAATGTAAGAAAAACAAGCAAAAACAACAGAAGAAAGATTTGTTTGCTTTGTGTGTACGTGTGTTTAGTCTGCGAGCGCGCGTGTGTGTGTGTGCGTGTGTGTGTGTGTGTGTGTGTGTGTGTGTGTGTGTGTGTGGTGCCTGTGGAGGTCAGAAGACACTGGGTCCTTGGGAGTTGGGATTACAGATGGCTCTGAGTTACTTCATGGGTCCTCTAGAAGAACCCAAATGCTCTAAACTACTGAGCCATCTCTACAGCTCCCTAGAGCACATTTTTTAAAAAACGTTTCATTACAATGTGTGTGTGAGAGAGTGTGCATATGCCAGGACAGAGGGCAGAGGACAATTTTTTAGTCATTTCTTTCCTTCCATCCCTGTGGACGGACCCCAGGGACTGAACTCTAGCCCTCAGGCTTTGTGTCAAGGGACTTGACCCCAAGTCATCTTGCCAATCTAGGATACATTGTATTTAACACCTCATCTGATCTGTAAGATTTCCCTTCTGACCTTCCCAGGAGGTCTCTGACTCTGCCCTCTGAGGAGCCCCAGGTGGGTCTCCAAGCTACACACCCCTTTTCCTCTTCACATCTGCCTTCTTCAGCCAGGCGACACTCTCCCTTTGCCAACGTTCACTCCTCTGCCTGAAACCTTTCCTCCCTTCCTGGTGTCAACCACAGAGTGTAGGGAGCTGGAGGTATGGCTCAGAGGTTAACAACCTGTATTGTTCCTTCAGAAGACCCCAGTTCGATTCCCAACAACGATGTCTTGTGGGTAAGAACCACCTGTAACTGTAAACTACATGACAGAGCCCCTGTGGGCACCTGCACATGTGCACATATATGTACATTATTAAAATCAATAAAATAAATCCCAAAAAAGGAAGAAAAGGTCACGCAGCACCCTTTAATCCCAGCAGCTGGGAGGCAGAGATCAGGATGATCTCTGTGATTTCAAGGCCAGCCTGGTCTACAGAGCGAGTTCCAGGACAACCAGGACTGTTACACAGAGAAACCTTGTCTTGGAAAATAAAATGAAAGGACAGAAGGGAGAAAGAGAGAGAGAGAGGGGGGAGGGAGGGAGGGAGGGAGGGAGGGAGGGAGGAAGATTTCACAGAGTACAGGTCTGCATTTATTTATTTATTTTTATTTTTGTGTATGTGAATGTGGGTATGTGTCTTAGCTAGGGTTTCCATCACTGTGAGCAGACACCATGTCCACGGCAACTCATAAAGATAAACATTTAGTTGGGTGGCTTATCGTCATGGGACAGCATGACAGTGTGCAAGCTGAGTGTTTTATATCTTGTACAGGCAACAGAAAGTTAGCTGAGACACTGGACATGGCTTGAACATATATGAGACCTCAAAGCCCATCCCCACAGAGACTCACTTCATCCTACAAGGCCACACCTACTCAAATAAAGCCACACCTAACAGTGCCACTCCCTGTGAGATTATGGGGCCCATTACATTCCCACTACCACAGCAAGTATGGACCACGGCGCTTGTGTGGAGGCCTATGGGCAACTTGTGGGAGTCTGCTCCTCCTTCGCCATGTGGGTCCCAGGGATTGAACTCAAATTATCAGGCTATACAGTGCCTTTACCCACTGAACCATCTTGCCAACCTAGCATGCTTTTTTTGTTTTTGTTTGCTTTTTAGTTAGGGTCTCATGTAGTTCAGGTTAGTCTTTTTTGTTTTTGTGAGAGTTTCTCTATATTGTTTTGGAGGCTGTCCTGGAACTAGCTCTTGTAGACCAGGCTGACCTCGAACTCACAGAGATCCGCCTGCCTCTGCCTCTTGAGAGCTGGGAATAAAGGCGTGCAGCACCAACACCGGGCTCAAGTTTGCCTTAAACTCATGATCCCCAGCCACTTCCTCCTTGTGCTGGGCTCACAGGTTATCACAGAAGGCTCCCCATATTTCTGATCACATGACACATTCCAGAAGACAATTGCCAGCTTGTCCCAAATGACATGTGGATTCAGCTGGAAATTACAGCAGTACACAGTATGGCAGACCACACTTTCTGTTCTCTGAATCACTAACCAGACATGGAAAACAGGCCCAGGGCACAGGGGGAGAGCCATGGAGTTAGAAATTATAACTCCTCCACACAGCCAGCTTGTATACCACTGGCAGCTCTTTTACTGTTTTCCTTAGTCTGTCTTGTTTTGTTTTGTTTTGTTTTGAGAAAGAAATCTAGTGTAGCTCAGTGTCACAGTTAAGGTTTCTATTGCTGTGCTAAAACACCATGATCAAAAGCAGCTTCAGATAGAAAGTGTTTATTTCATCTTACACCTCTCAGGTCGCCCTCCATCACTGAGGGAGTTCCAGGCAGGAACGTGAGGCAGGACCTGGTACAGGATCTATGGAGGAATGCTGCGTCCTAACCTGATGCTCCTGGCTTGCAAAGTTGCCTCCCCAACCCTACAAGCCAATCTGATGAAATTATTTTATCAGTTAAGAGTCCCTCTTCCCAAACGACTCTAGTTTGTGTCACAAAACTACCCAGCATACACAGGCTGGTCTGGAGCTCAATATGTCGCTGAGGGTAGAATTCTGTGATTCTAGATGTGTACTATCAGATCTGACTTATTTTGTGCTGGAGATGGAACCCAGGGCCCAGTGCATGCTAGGTAAGTATTCCATCTAACCATGCCTTTGGTTCTTCTGTTTTTAGGTTGTTTTATTTTAATGTGTATGAGTGTTTTCTCCGCATACTTTGCAGACAGCTTGCGATCAAAGCAGTTTTTTTTTTCAGTCAGCTTGGTTGTTCTGAGTCTTCTCATCAGTCCTTACTGCTTATGTAACCTTGGGAAGGAGGGGCTTGTCCATCTGCTAGGTTCAGGGACTTCCTGAGACTTATGAGTTGTTTTCTTCCTGAGTCTTAATGAGTCTCTGATAGTTGTCATCTTTAAAGAAGTGGTGTTTTTTTTTTTGCTGTTTGTTTGTGTTTTTTGTTTGTTTGTTTTTTTGAGACAGGGTTTCTCTGTGGCTTTGGAGGCTGTCCTGGAACTTGCTCTGTAGACCAGGCTGGTCTCGAAGTCACAGAGATCCGCCTGCCTCTGCCTCCCGAGTGCTGGGACTAAAGGTGTATGCCAACAACACCTGGCTTGTTTGAGGTTTTTTTCAAGAGAGGGTTTTTCTGCATATCCCTGGCCGTCCTGGAACTCTCTCTCTGTAGACCAGGCTAGCCTCAAACTAGCCTGCTTCTGCTTCCCAAGTGCCAGGATTAAAGGCGTGTGCCACCTTATTTATTATGTATTTTAAAAACAGAATCTTGGGGCTGGAGAGATGGCTCAGCAGTTAAGAGCACTGATTGCTCTCCCAGAGGACCTGGGTTCAATTCCTAGCACCCACATGGCAGCTCACAACTGTCCGTAACTCCAGCTCCAGGGGATCTGACACCTTCACATCATGGCACATAAAATAAAGAAACAAAACCATGAACGGAACCTCACTGTACGGCCACAGCTGACTTGGAACTTGCTATGTAGAGCAGGGTGGCCTTGAACTTGAAGGTTTGTTGCTTCTTCCACCTGCTGAGTGTTGGCACTAAAGGTGTGTCCCACAACACCTTGTTTCTCATAACCTGTTTTTATTTTACGTGCATTGTTGTTTTCACTGCATGCATGTCTGTGTGCAGGTGTCAGAAGCCCTGGAGCTGGAGCTATAGACAGGTGTGAGCTGCCATGTGGGTGCTGGGAATTGAACCCCAGTCCTCTAGAAGAAAAGCCGGTGCTCTTAACTGCCTTAGGACTCAGAAGCTCCTCCAACTTCTGAGTCTTTTCTCATTGTTGTTGTTTTGGCTTGTGGGTTTTTTGTTGTTGTTTTTGTTGTTGTTTTGAGACAGTGTCTTTGTAGCTTTGGAGCCTGTCCTAGAACTCGCTCTGTAGACTGGGCTGGCCTCAAACTCACGGAGATCAGCCTGCCTCTGCCTCCTGAGTGCTGGGAATAAAGGCGTGAGCCACCAACGCCCAGCTAACTTCTGAGTCTTTTTTTTTTTTTTTTTTTTTTTGGTTTTTCGAGACAGGGTTTCTCTGTATTGTTTTGGAGGCTGTCCTGGAACTAGCTCTGTAGACCAGGCTGGCCTCGAACTCACAGAGATCCACCTGCCTCTGCATCCCAAGTGCTGGGATTAAAGGTGTGCGCCACCACTGCCTGGCGTAAAGAAGGCTTCTTAAGACTCAGAAGTTAGCCGGGCGTTGGTGGTGCACACCTTTAATCCCAGCACTTGGGATGCAAAGGCAGATGGATCTCTGTGAGTTCGAGGCCAGCCTCCAAAGTCACAGAGAAACCCTGTCTCGAAAAAACCCCAAAAAAAAAAAAAAAAAGAAGCCTCCTTTATGTAACAAATTTTCTTGTTAGACTATCTTTTGTAGGACCACAGTTGCCATTGGTGGCCTGGAGACTTACTGTTAATTACCAAAGCCTGGTCTTAGCTTAGGTTTGTTTCCAACTATCTGTTATAACTTAATTACCCCATATTTTTTTCTACCACATGGCTCGGTTACCTCTTCTTAGTACAGCGCATTCAACTTGCTCTGAGTCTACTGGCAACGTCTGTGCACCTAGATTTCTCCTTCTTTTCCTCTCTCTCCCTGGAAATCCCACCTATCATCTCCTGCCTTACTATTGGCCATTCAGCTATTAAACCAATCATACAATACATCTTCACACAGTGCACAAATCCCATAACACCTTTAGAAACTCCCTGGGAGTTCTGGTTTCTTTTCTGCACTGACCAAAGCAGCTTAAGGTAGAAAAGGTTCATTTCATCTAGCCCTTGTATGTAGTTCATAATTTGATGCTGAGAGACCCTGGGGCAGGAACTGGAGCCGGAGTTCTGTACAGAGGAAGCTGCCTGCTCGCCTGCTCTCTGGCTGGTCCAAGCTCAAGCCTGACTCTCTTTCCGGCCTGCTCAGGTCTCCCAGCTGGAGTTACATGAGTCTGGGAACTGAAGTTGGGCCTTCAGAAGAGCAAGGGCTCTGAGCCACCTCTCTAGCCTCAGCTGTTCTGTGGAAGGGCTCTTTTCCTCATATTCTTTTGACATATTGTTTGTTTTCAGACAGGGTCTTAAGCAGCAGTCATTGTCTAGAATCGTCCCACCTTAGTCTCCCTAGGCTCTGGGTTTGTAGGACTGAGCCACACGCTGCCCACCTAGCTGCATCAGCTTACTGAGCTCTACAAGGTTTCTGGAAGGTGAGATGACCTTGACCAGTTCACAAAAAGGGAAGCCGAGGCACAGAGCCCAGGTTCAAACAGGCTGACTGGCCGCTAGCCCATATGGGTAGCCACCAGCCTCTGCTTCCCTTAAATGAATTTCCTTCCAAAAGCCATGCCTGTTGGGGGGTGGGCTGTGGCTGCCAGTCAGGCATGACAAGGAAAGCCCAAGCCTCTCTTGAGTCCTCCTGACTGCCTTCGTCTCCTTGGGGACTCTCTCTAATGCCTTCTCCATCCACTGACACCCCTATTCCTGCCTGTGGTCAGCCCAAATACCAGATGGGGTGAATAGCAGCCTTTCTCAAACATTCCTCGTCACTGCGGCTCAGTTTAGGCTGGCTGAGGTTATGAAAATAGAGCTGAGGTGGTTGGAACAGGCGGGAAGTGGAGGGATGGGCTAGCTGGGCCTTGCCACCCTATCCAGCCCTCTGCCAGCCCTCCTCAGGGAGGGGAAGGGGGTGGTCATCCTCCCAGGCCTTGTGGTATAGCCGAGTGTGTGTGTGTGTGTGAGTGTGTGAGTGTGAGTGTGTGTGTGAGTCCTATGCTGAGACATGGAGAGCAGCTGTAGTCACAGGGGATGTTGGAGCAAGTGAATGCTGGGCTGGAGCTTGAGGAGAGGCACCACAGAGCTGACTATGGTAAGGTGGGCAGGGAGGGTCTGGGGTGGGTCTCCCCACCCCTGCCTGGCTCTGTCCACTGGCTAGGTGGCCAAGCCTACCCTGCAGGGGGGACCCCTCACCAGGCTGGCCTGCTGACCCCAGAGGCCTCAAGAGTTGCTGCTGCTTCTGATGCTGAGGTGGACCAAGGCACACATGGAGGACCCTGCCTTCCCGCACTTGGGTGACGGCTCACAGACCCTGCTGAGGGCCTGTCCTTGGCGCTGCTCCTGTCCCCGAGATGACACAGTGGACTGTGCTGGTCTGGGCCTGAGAGTATTCCCAGACAATATCACCAGGGCTGCTAGGCACCTTTCCTTGCAGGTGAGGGCTAGGGGTCAGAGACTCAGGGAGGCATAGGGCCCAGGTGGGGTCCAGGTGGGAGGTCCACGTGCCAGAGCTGAACCTGGCCTTGCTCTGGGTCTGCTAAGCCAGGCCAACACCAGAAGGAGAAGCCCTGCATGTTGGGAGAGCTGAGTTTGGGGTCGGTCAGCATCTTAGAAGGAGTAAAGCTGCTTTGGTCAGAACACTGAGTTCTGGGGCAATTGTTGTGATGGTGGAGGTCATGGGGTGCTTCAGGAAGATCTGGGGTAAAAATTGTTGGTAAGGATTCTGAGGCCGGAGGATGGACACTGCATAGTAAAGCCCTGTGTGGTGGGGAGGGGGCTAGAGACGCGTCAGAGGCAGGGAACTCCCCACCAGGACCTGGGTGTGGGGGCTGGGAGGCAGCTTCAAAATTAGCAGCTTGTGGGGCTCGGGGGCTCAAGGTGCTGTTGTGGGTGTGTGTGTAAGGGGCCCAGTGCCTTGCCAGTCTCAAGGTTGTTTGGGGTCAAGGAATGGGATGTTTTCTCCTCTTCCTCCCCCTTCTCTTGTTTTTGGAGACAAAGGTGAACGCTAAGCAAGTGCTCTGCTACTGGGCCAAACCTCTAGGTCACAAGTTGAGGAGCAAGGGACAGGTGTTGGTGTGAACATCTTCTCTCCACAGAGCAACCAGCTGCAGGAGCTCCCCTACAACGAATTGTCTCGTCTCAGTGGCTTGCGCACCCTGGACCTGCATAGCAACCTCATCTCCTCAGAGGGTGAGGATGTCGAGCTTGGAACAACCAGGTCCCAACCACTCTCCACATCCGCTGTTTGCCAGTTGTGGCCAGCTCTTCGGGGGTTTCCACAACTGCTGAGCCGGGTGGAATTTCAAGGGTTGGGGGATGGTTGTGGCTGTGGCTTTTGAGAAAGGACAGGATGTGTGGGGAGTGGGGGTGGGCAAAAGTCTGAGGACCTATACTAGTCCCTAGCCCTCAGAATAAGGCCTTCAGAGTAGGGCTGCTAGAAATGCGGGTCCTCTCGTCATCGCCCACTGTGCTCCCCACCCAGGCCTGCCTGATGAGGCCTTTGAGTCCCTCACCCAGCTAGAGCACTTCTACGTGGCCCACAACAAGGTGAGCCTGTATGTATCCCTGAGAGGGTGCATACTGGCTGGTGTCACCCGGTATGCGGGGACCGGGTGTGGGGGCTGGGGGCAGGGAACTCCCCACCGGGACCTGGGTGTGGGGGCTGGGGGCAGGGAATTCCCCACCGGGACCTGGGTGTGGGGGCTGGGGGCAGGGAACTCCGCACCCGGACCATTTACTGTTGATGTTGCAGCTCTCTGTTGCGCCCCAGTTCCTGCCACGCTCCCTGCGTGTCGCCGATCTAGCTGCCAATGAAGTGGTGGAAATCTTTCCTCTCACCTTTGGGGAGAAGCCTGCACTCCGGTAGTCTTAGTCCTGGCTCTGTCTCATCCTTTGACTCCAGGATCCTAGCCTGGGAGAAAGAGGCCTGCCCTGGAAGTGTGTACATGACTTTGCATAAGAAGCAGAGGGCAGCCCTCTTTTGAAGGGTGTGAGGCACGGCTCTGCACGAGGGTGGGGGTAGGGGGTGGGGAGTGGAGAGTCAGAGAAGGCTGGGTTCTGTTCTGGGGATCCTGGGGCATGACCCTGTGCTTGGGGGTGGCAGATGGTGTCAGGGAGGACTCAGATCAGTTTTGAAGGGTCTGAGTCACTCAGCTCAGTTTGTGGACTGTGTCCCTAAACTTGGGGTCAGAGAGATTTCAGATTTCAGTGGGGGGAGCTTGAGTGTGATATAGGGTCCCATACACTGTATCAAAAGTCTAGATTAAGCCTGGCCATGGCAGCACACACCTTTAATCCCAGCACTTGGGAGGCAGAGGCAAGTGGATCTCTGTGAGTTCAAGCTCAGTCTATCTGGTTTTCAAAGCGAGTTCCAGGACAGCCAGGATTATGCAGAGAAACTCTGTCTTGAAAAAAAAAGTCTAGACTAGGACAGACATCATCTACTTCACACACACACACACACACACACACACACACACACACACTGAGAGGGGGGTGGTGGTGTGCACATGCGTGGCTGCAGCCTTGCCCTTCTCAGGTCTGTTTATCTCCACAACAACCGACTGAGCAACACTGGTTTGCCACCTAACTCTTTCCATGGATCAGAGGCCATTACCACCCTAAGTCTCTCCAGCAACCAGCTCAGCTACCTACCACCCAGCCTCCCAGCCTCCCTGGAGCGGCTTCACCTGCAGGTACCCTGCCTATTGCGCCCACACGTGTGCATACACACACACACACACCTGGGCCTGTGTCTCTTACCCAGCGCAGCCTGTGAGAGTTTTCCACCTGCTCCTTTTCCATCCTTTTAACTGCTCCTCAGAATTCCAGATGTTAGAACCATCATTTAGAAAAAACAAAACAAACAAAAACCCTCCACTGCCTTGCACAAGCAAAACAAGCTCCTAGACACTCCTTTACTCAAGAGCCATCCGTGGCTGCCTAGTCGTTCATGCCAGACCCTCCGTTTCACTCTTCCTCCCCCAGAATAATCTCATCTCCAAGGTGCCCAGAGGAGCACTGAGCCTCCACACTCGACTCCGAGAGCTATACCTCCAGCATAATCAGTTGACAGATGGTGGTCTGGATGCAACTACCTTCAGGTACACAGCAGTGCTGGCAGCGGCCCCCTCCTTTATAGGACTCCTAACCCAGGACTTCATTCAGTGAGTGTCTAATGCACACCCCGCTGCCTGCCTGCCATAAAAGGTGTTACTGTATGCTGTGATGCTTGGCTGGTGTCTGTGACCTGCTACCTGCTTTTGAGGTTCTATTACCCAATAGTTGTGGGTTTTTGTGCTGGGTTATGGAATCCAGGTTCTTGCATGTGCTAGAATCTGCCCCATCTCCAGATTCTAGACAGGTAGATGGGAGCTCTGAGCTGCACCTTAGCTCTTGCTTTTTCTTTTCTTTTCTTTTTTTTTTTTTTCTGACAGGGTCTGTGTAGCCTGGAACTTGTTTTGTAGACTAAACTGGCCTCCAACTCATTCAGCTCTGCCTCTTGATGGCTGGGACTAAGGATTACGCCACAACACCCAGATAAATTTATTTATTTTTATGTGTATGGGTGTTCTGCCTGCATGGACGTCTGCAGCACGTGTATGCAATGCTTGAAGAACTGTAAGAGAGTGGTAGATCTCCCAGGACTGGAGTTATGCAGTTGAAAGCCACTGTGTAGTGCTGGGATTCCAGCCCTGGTTCTCTGGAGGGCAGCAGCCAGTGCTCTTAACTGCTGAGCCATCTCTCCAACCAAGCCCCAGATTTTTGAAAGAGTCTGGTTAAGTGTAGTCCAGGCTGGCATGGAACTCACAATCCTCTTAGCTCACCTCATGAGTCCTGGGATTCCATACCTGTACCTATGGCCATTCTGGGCTGCTATATGCTTTTCTTTGTTTTGTTTTTGTTTTTGTTTTTCGAGACAGGGTTTCTCTGTGGCTTTGGAGGCTGTCCTGGAACTCATTCTGTAGACCAGGCTAATCTCCAGAGATCCTCACAGAGATAGTCTGCCTCTGCCTCCTGAGTGCTGGGATTAAAGGCATGTACCACCAACGGCCAGCCTGCCTTATGCATTTCTATATCATATCAACCCGACTTTGTTGCTCCATCACTCTCCAGCTTAAAGGAGTCCTAAAACCCTTCCCTTCTCTTTCTGTCCCTCCCCCCTTTTTGAGATAGGATTTCTCAATGTAACAGCTCTGGCTGTCCTGGAATTTACTTTGTAGACCAGACTGGTCCCATAGAGATCTGATTGCCTCTGCCTCCCAAGTGCTGGGATCAAAGGTGTGAGCCAGCAACTCACACCTGGCTGGGGTCCCTTTTTTTTATTTTTGGTTTTTTGAGACAGGATTTCTCTGTATTGTTTTTTGGACCATGTCCTGGAACTCGCTCGGTAGACCAGGCTGGCCTGGAACTCACAGAGATCCGCCTGCCTCTGCCTCCCGAGTGCTGGGATTAAAGGCGTGCGCCACCACCGCCCATTCTATCACCTGTCTCCCATCAGCAAACTGAGCAGCCTTGAGTACCTGGACCTGTCCCACAACCAGCTGGCCACAGTGCCTGAGGGTCTACCCGGAACCCTGACCATATTGCACCTGGGTCGCAACTGCATCCGGCAGGTGGAAGCGCTGCGGCTGCATAGAGCGAGGGGCCTGCGCTACCTGTTGCTGCAGCACAATGCGCTAGGGGCTTCTGCGCTGCCCGCGGGGACGCTGAGGCCTCTGAGGGCTCTGCACACGCTGCACCTCTATGGCAACAGGCTGGAGCGCGTGCCCCCAGCATTGCCCCGCCACCTGAAGTCCCTGGTGATGCCCCACAACCGCGTGGCCGTGCTAGGTGCGCGAGATTTGGTTTCTGCGAGAAGCCTGGCTGAGCTCAACCTGGCCTACAACCGCCTGGCCAGCGCGCACGTGCATCCCGGCGCCTTCCGCCGCCTGAGCGCCCTGCGCAGCTTGGACCTGGCCGGTAACCAGCTGAGCCGGCTGCCGGAGGGCCTGCCCGCCAGTCTGCGCTCCCTGAGACTGCAGCGTAACCAACTCCGGGCCCTGGAGCCAGAGCTGCTGGCCGGCCTGAATAAGCTGCAGGAGCTCAGCCTGGCACACAACCGGCTCCGCGTGGGCGACATCGGGCCTGGCACCTGGCACGAGTTGCAGGCACTGCAGGTCAGGGGTTAAGTACAATGTGGTTATCTCCACCTCATGCGGGCAGCTTGAGATGGCTAAAACAGACCCTGTTTGGGTTGTTGCTGGTATGTCCCCACTTCTGGGGGGAGACTTTACTTCTGAGCACTCCTCCATTCTACCCAGCGGCTAAGCTCTGGCAACCCAGCTGGGCACAAAACAGGGTCCTTATCCCTTATCCAAACATCCTAGTTAGAGAAAAGGCCATCTAGGCAATCACAGTGATAGAAGGTAAGGAGTAGCCAGGTGTGGGGACCACACTGTCTCTACAGCACAGGGGATGCTGAGTAGGTAGGTGGAATCTGAAGCCTGCTGAGACTGCAGAAAGAAGAAAGGAAAGGAAGGGGAGGAGGGAGGGAAGTCAGGAAAGAGAAAACAAAGGTTGGTGGCGCACACCTTTAATCCCAGCACTCAGGAGGCAGAGGCAGGCGGATCTCTGTGAGTTCCAGGCCAGCCTCCAAAACAAGAGAAACCCTGTCTCGAAAAAAACCAAAAAGAAAAGAAAACAGAGGGTGTGAGTGAGGAGGATGTGCAGGGCCGCTGTCTTCACAGTCTGGTGTCTTGCTGAGTCAGGCAGGTGGAGACCACACCTACCTGTACTTCCCGTGGATGAAACAGCAATTTATCAGCCCAGTAGATCTCTATGGAGCGAAAGGATTTGGCAACCATTAGTGAACAAGTGTGCCTGGGCACGACGAGGCAGAGGAGCAGGGAGGAGACAGCTGGACGCGTCCTTGGCCCTGAGCTTGCCATGTGCTGTGTGCCTGTCAGGTGCTGGATCTGAGCCACAATGAGCTATCCTTTGTGCCTCCTGACCTGCCGGAGGCCCTGGAGGAGCTGCACCTACAGGCTAACCGCATTAGCCACGTGGGCCCAGAGGCCTTCCTCAGCACACCCCGCCTGCGTGCCCTCTCTCTGAGGTGAGGGGCGGGTGAGGGAGCCTGGATATGACGTCTCTTCATCATGGTCCTAACATCCCTGCCTCTCTGCACAGGGCCAACAGGCTTCATATGACAAGCATCGCAGCTGAGGCCTTCCTGGGGCTTGCACACCTGCGTGTGGTAGACACTGCAGAAAACCCAGAACAGGTCCTGGTCCAGCTGCCACCCAAGGGCAGGGGGTCCTGAGCCCTGAGGGCTAGCCAAGTAGCCCTGATGAACTATGGACTAAGAAGTTCTCAGTTGGGGCCTTGGAGGCTGGGCCTGTTCTGCCCAGCGTTGGCAGACACTAGGAGCAGGTGTCTGTCTACTTGGTGGTGGTTGGGGGTTGAAGCAGGAAGTATGCTGCCTTGAACATTCTGGGGTGCACACTATACCTTCCACCAGATGGTGATGGGGAAAATAAACTGAACCCTTTTCTACATTCACACCCACTCAGTGCCCTGTGGGACCCATCTCTTCCCTACACCTCACAGGAGTGCCTTTTCCATCCCCGAGGCCAAGTGCACTTGGAGATAGGCTCTAGGATCTGAGGTCAGTCTGACAGTGTGGTTCCACAGTCAGTGACTGGTATGGATGACCCGAGACTGATACATTGGTCATTAACCAAGCCATGGGCTCACCTAGGCCTTCCCAGGGTACTGGGCTGAGTGGGGAGGCCTAGGTCAGCCACTGAACAGGCCATATCAAGGAAGAAAAAAGACAGAGCTGAGGTGGGTGTGGCCTTGGCTGTTTATTCTGTGTTGGTCCTGGAGGGGGGGGGCAGCTGGGTCAGCACAGTCCCTGGAGAGCCAGCTGAGTTTGACAGCCTCAGTGGCATCTTTGGAGAGGACTGTAGGCTTAAGACTGGGGAGGACAGGAAGTAAAGTGCTTGCAGGGCCTCTGGGCTCGTGCCCAGCCACCCGCCTTGCTCCAGATGCTCCTGGATGTGCAAACAGGACTCTCCAAGGCCCAACCAGCCAGGCTTAGGTGAGGGTGCTGTCCTGACGTCCCTGGGGCTGGGGGCCTGGACAGGGTAAGTCCAGAACCAACTGTCCGCTGATTGTCTGTTTGTCTGCTCGGTGGCCCTGGAGCTCGGCCTGGGCCTCACCTGCGGAGTCGCTGAAGCTGTGGGAGACATAGGGGGTGAGGACACCAGCACCACGTGTCCCTGTCCACTCCCAACCCTCCCACCCCCTGCCCCACTCCTGTGGCCACTCACCTCGCTCTCTACCAGGTTCCGGCGGTACAATGCCTCTTTCGCAGCCTCCTAGGGGAAGGGGTGATTAGTGGATAGTTCAGGATGACCCTGCCCCTACACCTTAGTACACAGCACCGGAGTCCAGCTTACCCTGCTTCCGTCGCAGCCTAAGCGCCGGGCAGCCTCTGTGTAGAAGTGCAGCTGGCGCTCCAGATGCGATGCGTACTCTTGAGAAGTGGCAGTGGGGGTCAGGGTCAGGCAGCTGCTTCTCCCCACTTTTGCCTCTGTCCCATCCCATGGGGTTTCTCGTTTCCCTATCCCCCACCTCTCTCCTATCAGACAGGCCTCTCCCCAGCCCCTTTCGTGACCCTCCCTTTTACAGTACCTCCCTCACCAGATAACCCCTCCAGCCCCACTGCTGCCCTACCCCTGCGGATGCCGGCACCCCCCTGCTCCAGCTGTGCCCTCTGCCACTGGCTACGCTGCACCACATCCTGGTACTGCTGGGCCACTTCTGGGGGCACAGGCCGGCGTGCCTGCCTCAGGGCCAGGATCTGGAGGATACAAAGAGGACTGTGAGCCAATCTGGAGTCCACTCCTAGGCCCACCATACTGAGCCCAGCAGGACAGGCACCCACCTTCCTTTCTAGCCGCTCTTGGTCAAAGGCTAGCACACTAAGGCTATGCAGGGGCCGTGCCGATCTGCAGGGTAGAGAGGGGCATGAGAGGACTATAGAGGGTGCAGTGGAGATCCAAAGGAACCGGTTGGGTAGAGGCACAGGGGGTAGGGGACCTCAAGCAGGGTCTCAAGAAGTTCAGGGACCAGAGAAAAGTAGTTCTGATGCTGGAGGTTCTGGGGCATGTCTGAACATGAACTGAGAGGAGGGACCAAATGAAGACAGAGAAGGCTGAATGTGTTGACAATGGTCACATCATAAAAGGTCAAGCAGAGGCTTTTGAACTGAATTTCCCAAGAGAAGGGGTCCAAGAATGGCTTTGGAGCCAGACAGGATATGGTCTGATGTGCCATGGACATTACAGAAGGAACTGAGAGACCAGAGGATTCACTTCAGTGTGACCTCGCCCAGACTCACCTGTTCCCTGGTTCCCTCCAAGTGGCAGCTATGGGAGGCACCTTTGCTTTGGGTCCAGAGACCTGTTTTTGTACAGAGAGCCAGTCCAATAAGCACTGAGTCCTTGACCCCAGCCCTACTCCCAGGGGTGGCTGACAGGCAGGGGGCTCACTGTGGGCATAGCTGCTGGGAGGTGATCAATGACCAGCCACCTCTCCGTTGTAGTCTCTAACTGCTGGGCTGTCAATGGCTCCCGGATCCGGACCATCACTTCAAGCCGCCCCCCAGTGGGCCGGCGACCATCCAAAACCTAGGTTGGAGTAACAAGGGGTGCTATGGGAAAGAGCAGCAATCTCAAACAGGAGTCCTCAGGAATGCCAGAGATGATGACTGTGACAACAGACCAGGGTGCTCAAAGTCTGCAAGCACCTGCCGCCACCTCACCTCCAGGATCTCATGGACTTCACACGCCGTCTCCAACATATCCAGCTTCAGCTGGGCAGTGCCCAGCACCCTGTCAGTCTTGAACAGGCCCCTGTGTGTAGGAAGGTGTAATGGTCGGCATGCTGCTCCAGCCCTGAGCCCAGGCCCTGTGGTCCTTGGCTCACCCCTTGTGGACCACTTCGAATTTGATGCCCTTGGTTTGGATGGCCCTTCGGAAGCCACGGTGGCCACGGTTGATGCACAGCTTGAACTGCTCCTTGAACTCTAGGCAGGGAAGGAGGGAAGAATGAGAGACTGGCTGTGCGGGAGTGGGCACTGGCCTTGTGTGTTATGTGTGTGCAGTGTGTGTTCATGTGGCAGGCAGAGCACCACCTCAGGGGTTAGTCCTCTCCTTCCGCCAGCGTCTCATTTGTGCAGTTGGCCCGCAAGCTCTCTTGTCCTCCCCTCACTGCAGGAGTGTGGGGTTACAGAGGCGGTTACCGCGCTGCCTTTAAGTCAGACCTGGAGATCTGAATTCCCTTACTTCTGCTAGCACTGCAGTTGCCTTGCCTACTGAACCATCTTTCCTCTTCCTTCCTTTTCCCCTTGAGGGTTTGTGCATGTGGGGTATACCTCTAAGCTAAACACCTTCCCCCCCCCCGCCGTGGCCCTGGTTTTAGATTTTCTTCTGTGGGAGGCCAGGTGACTCACCAGGGGAGTCTGTATTTTTGATCACACTGGTCTTGTCTTTCTGAGCTTCTTCCTGTATCAGGGGGAGACAGGAATGATCAGGCCCAGGCCAGCTGGATTTCCTGCTTGCCTTACTTCCTGGTCCCCACCTAGTTAAAGTTGCACCTACCACATTAGGATAAGGGAAGTCAAACCGGACAAAGGCATCCAGGTCACTGGGGGACAGCCCTGCAGGTAGACAAGGGTCAGGCCTGGGCGGAGACACCAGCCCACTCTTGCTTCTGGGCCACGCCTCACCTGTGGGTGTGGGTAAGTTGATGCCCTTCACGATAAACAGAAGCATGTCATTGTTGCTCAGGTCCGGAAAGACCCTGTCAGTAGTCAGGGAAACAGAGGCAGGCAACTTAGTCCCAACCTGCAGCTCTCATTTCCCTCAGTGGAGTAAGGAACCCTCCAGACTGTGGAGGTGTCACTCCTGGGTTCAGGGTGTAGCGTTGGGCATTCCCTTGCCTGACTTCTGGGCTTTGTTCAGTGCTCACATACTTATTTGGTACCTACTTCTTTTTTTTTTTTTTTTTTGGTTTTTTGAGACAGGATTTCTCTGTGGCTTTGGAGGCTGTCCTGTAGACCAGGCTGGCCTCGAACTCACAGAGATCCACCTGCCTCTACCTCCCAAGTGCTGGGATTAAAGGCATTCGCCACCACCGCCCGGCTGGTACCTACTTCTATTTGTGTCTGTGTATTTATTGTGTGTATACATACATGTGCATGTGTTCGTATGTGTGTATGTACACAGATGTGCCATGACACACATGTGAAGGTCAGAGACGCACTTTGAGAGTTTTTTTTTCTTTAACTCAGGTTGTCAGGTTTGGCAGTAAGTCCCTTTATTTGCTGATCTACCTCACTGGCCCTCATTTACCAGCTTTATTTGTATACCTACTATGTACATGGCAGCATCTGAGCTGTGCCCTTTACTCTGTATTCCTGGAGTCCAACTAAGCACCAGCCAGGACTCTAGCTGCTGGAGGAGCCTTTTCTTTTGAGACAAAGTCCTTGAATTTCTGATTCTCCTGCCTCTACCTCCTGAGAGCTGGGATCACAGGCATGTACATCTGGTTAATGAGGTCCTGGAACCCAGGATCGCATGCATGTTGGGCAAGCATTCTACCAACTGAGCTACACACCCAGTCTCTTCCTTTCTGAGTGTCTGCCAAGTATCAGCCAGGGCCTAGCCAATGAAGCACCTCATGCCCACCCCAGAGCCTTTGCATGTCTAGGCTCACACCATGCATTTACTCTTGACCAGAGTTGAGTGCCGCAAGAGCTTCCAGAAGTGTAGATCCCTCCCCAGCAATACCCAACCAGGGGGCTTTGGGCCCTACTTGATGACACTGAAGGTCCTTTGCTCAAAGCGGGCAGCGGGTGTGGGCAGACTTCGGGCAAAGGCCTGCTTTAGGGTGTCCATGCTCCGCTTACAGTCTTCTGCCAGCTTCTCGAACCTATAGGAGACAGTATTGCTTGGGGCCCTGGCCAGCTGGGCTGCCAGCGCAGGACCAGTGAGGTCGGCACTTACTTGATAGTCTCAGCAATGTTGCCCAGGTGGGTGAACTGTGTGGCATGGCTCAGACACATCTGTAGGGGAAAGAACGAGAACATGTGGAAGGCCAGGAGGAATAGTATAGGGGATGGGGACAGGGTCATGGGTGGGACCTTACTTCATGTTGCTGTCTCAGGAGTTTGGTAAGCTCCCCATAGCGCCGCACGGTCTCCTGAGACATGCCTGGGCCAGGCCGCTGCACCAGTACAAAATCATCCTTGTTGACAGGGGCGGGAGGCACCTATGGAAGGGGTGGGTAGATGAGGCTGGTAGGCAAGGACCTGCTGACCCAACTAGGAGCAGCTCGTCTGGGGCTTTGACATCGTCTCTGCCCCTTACTCTGTCTCCCCTCAGCTCCTATGCTGTCTGACATAACAAAACCATCTTTGGGCAGCCCTGTACATGTGCAGGCACTGCTCTGTGGCTGGGGACCAGGGACGCAGCAGTGAATGGAGTCACCGG